AGAGAAACAAAACTGTGCCTTTTTTGTATTTGCCTTTGTATTCTCCCTCCCTCCCTCTCTCTCTTCTCAATCCTTCATGTTGTTGGGACGGGGGTTTTTTTGGGTGGGGGGGGAACAGCTTTAGTGTTCGAGTTTTGCAAAGTGAATCCAGTTTCCTCGGGCATGCATGCATGCCGAAGGACAATTAATTCTGCAAATCCAGCACTTGCCGAGGCAATAAAATAAAATAAACCAACCTAATAGATGGAAGGAGGAGGAAGTGAGGGAAATGGACAGAGGCCTGTAGTAGGCTTACAGTTTACGCATAATTCTTCTCTAGATGAAGACTTAGGCTGCGTACACAGCATACATTTAAAGCACACATACCCTTAAAAAGGAATCCTGGGAATTGTACTTTATCCCTCACAGAGCTACGATTCCCAGCACCCTTGACAAATTAATGTTCTCAGGGTTCCTTGGGACGGGAGAATGTACTTTAGATGTATGGTCTGTATGCAGCCAATATCTCTCATCTCAAGAGAGAGAGTTGCCTCTGTTTTCGTGTCTCCATTTTTGTACCTTGCTCCTCCTCAAATATTTAATCTCAACAGCAACCCTGAGAGGCAGATAAGTCTGGGAACGACATCTCTCCAAAGGCTACCCTGTGAGCATCAAACTGAGCAGGGAATGGACTCATTGAGTTTCCCACAATGAACCCAAGCACGCTAACCATTGTACGAAACTGCCAGCATGCCAGCAATGCTTTATCCTCCGGTTAAGTGTCCATCTGCTTGTTTGTTCTTTCCAGGGGGAGGGAAACTTGTGCACTCCCTGATGTTGCTGGACTACAACTCCCATCCTCCCTGACTGTTGACCATGTGGGTTGGGGGTTGATGGGAGTTGTAGTTCAGTACAGATCTGGAGGGCCTCCAAGTTGTGAACCCTCAACTGGAAAGTCGAGGAGGGACTGCCTTAACAGGATTACAAACCACCTGGTCTCAGGGTAGTAGGGGTTCAAGGTCTCCTGCACAGCGGACAAATTACAACTGTAGATGTTGCTTGTGGTAGAGAGAACTTCTTCTGCATATCTCTGCCTTTACCAAATTTAGTCCTTTACCAAAGCCTAACCCATTCTCTTCCCCTTAGCCATGTTCATCAGAATAGATTACTAGCCCCCCCCAACTTAAATGCATTAATTCTGTACGCGTTGCACAGCACCTGGTGCACTCCTGCAGTTAAGTCGGCCGAGCCACTAGTGCATACACCTACACAAAAAGGTTATTGCTTACATACACACACAAACACCAGTCAGTTGTGACATATTCACAGCCTTCAAGGTGGAAAGGAACAACTCTTGTTTGGGAAAAGGGAAAAAAATAAAAAAGCTTTCTTCCCTAGTCGCCACGAGGAGATTCCGACTCGCCACAGGCGACCGGCGAGTTCCAAGCCTGGGCCTGGCGCTTTGCTGGTGTGAAATGAACTGGTCTACAGCAGGAACTGCAGTGGTGGAAGACGCATTCCCACCCGAGGACGATCAGGCTGTGGGAGGGTGTGAGGAGTTGGCAGAGCCCGGCGTGAGCCGGTTTAATCGGCTGTGTCCATCTGGACGGATGGGGCAGCGGTGCCAATTCCCGGCCTTGAGCCCAAAGCACCAGCTACGGTTCTTGCCGGGCTCTCTGAGGCAATTAACCATGATTAAGAGAATCAGCCCTTGCCTGCTCCTGCCTAAATAGCTCCTGTCAACCCCGCTTAGGCACAGAGCGCCTCAACGGCTCTCTCCACAAACTGCGTCTTCTTCTTCCTCCTCCTGCTCCTCTTCCTCCTCAGGAAAAGAGGTCCGTGGCTGGAGGCAAGTATCGCGAGCACCTGGGCTAGCCAGAGGCCTTGCCCTGGCGACCACACAAAGAGGAGAACATCAGAATCAGGCCAGTGGCCCATCTAGACCAACATCCTGTTTCTCACGGCGGCCACCCAGGTGCTTATGGGAAGCTCGCAAACAGGACTTCACTCCCAGGGGTTCCAGAAATTGGTCTTCCTAAATGTACTGCCTCCAATAGGGGTTGTAGCCCAGAGTGCCCCAGAACAGCTGGGAGGTCTTCACAAGTGGCGCTTGCAGAATAAGTTTGCTAAGGAGAGAAGCTCATAGGATGAGGGTCACGGTCTGTCTGGCCCATCGCTCCTCTGGTGCACACTTGTGATGCCTTCAGAGACAGCTTAAAGAGATTGACATTCTGTCTACTGATATCAGGTGCTGCTCGCCGCCTCCTTCCCTGCCCCACTTGTGGGCTTCCCAGAGGCACCTGGATTATTAATGTTATCTATGATTGCAATTCTATCCCAAGGAGTTCAAGGGGGGTACGCAAAGCTCCCCATTTCCTTCATTCCATCCCCATAACAGCCTTGCGAGGTAGGCCACACCAAGAGAGTATGATTGTCTTACCCCTTCCCAAGATCACACACACCCCAATAATAATAATAAATAATAAATTTTATTTATATCCCGCCCTCCCCAGCCGAAGCTGGGAACCAAGGGAGGTTAATGGCTGAGTGGGGCTCTGAACCCTTGTCCCCAGCCCAGCACTAACCACAACATCAACACCCTCTCTGTCAGGTTCTCTGGCACTGCAGTCACGAGGCTGGGCTACCTTTGGTTTGATCCTGCAAGGCAGTTCTTTACAAATACAAAAATTATTTACACAATGTATGCAATGGCTAAACGGAAACTCCATAGACAGAGGCAGTCTATCGTAGCTGACACGAATATAAGAGCAGCTAGGTAAGGTCAATGGGGACGCAGGTGGTGCTGTGGGTTAAACCACAGAGCCTAGGACTTGCTGATCAGAAGGTCGGCAGTTCGAATCCCCATGACGGGGTGAGCTCCCGTTGCTCGGTCCCTGCTCCTGCCAACCTAGCAGTTCGAAAGCACGTCAAAGTGCAAGTAGATAAGTAGGGTACTGCTCCAGCGGGAAGGTAAACGGCGTTTCCGTGCGCTGCTCTGGTTCGCCAGAAGCGGCTTAGTCATGCTGGCCACATGACCCGGAAGCTGTATGCTGGCTCCCTCAGCCAATAAAGCGAGATGAGCGCCGCAACCCCAGAGTTGGCCACGACTGGACCTAATGGTCAGGGGTCCCTTTACCTTAGGTAAGGCCAAATGGTTGTCTTTCAGATGCCCACGAGCAACAGAGGCAAACAGTCATTAGCTCCCCCAGCGACTGATAATCACAGATAGGCTATTCCTGAAGGTGGAGGCTAGCCAGATTAGCCACCACCTCGAGGCTGCAAATCCCAAACGCATCTGCTAGGGAGTAAGCCTCGCTGAATGCAGCTGGGGCTTATTTCCAAGTAAATACCCTTGAGGATTGTCGAGGGAGCGAGCCTTCCTAAATCTGCCTAATTTATTTATTAAGCCATCAGCGCTTCTCAGGGCAGAGAATTCCCTACATGAGTGCCAGATTGCTTGAGAGAAGTGGCTCCTTGTCAGACAATGCCTAAAGTACTGCTCATCAGTTTTGTGGGGTGACCACCCCACCCCACCCCGAGTCCTTATATCACAGAAGGAGGGAGAAAATAAATAAGCACATGCCCACTTCGCACAGCTCACAGTGTGTTTACGCATCGCACACAATCCCATGCCTTTTGTCAGGGTTCCCCCCCCCAACCCCGCTCCAGACCTGGGGATTCCTCCTGCCAGATTTGGATCTTACACACACGGTAAGTACTAATTCAGGCTTCAGAGTTAACACATGCACATGCATTCGGATCGGTGTGTGTGTGTTTGTGTATGTGTGCAGAGAAAGAGAGAGATGGGTTGGGGGAAGAGGTAGCCCAGTGCTTGGAGGATCTGCTTTGCACGCACACAGTCCCGGGTTCAATCCCTGGCCTCTCCAGGTGGGGCTGGGAATTTCCCCGGTCGGAAACCCTAGAGAGACTCTGCCAGTCAGTGTAAGCAATACAAAGCTAGACAGATGGACCAACAGTCTGACTCGGTATAAGGCAGCTTTATAGTCTTCTCTATCTCATCCACGCACACACAATTTCCTGCATGCACAGAGCTGTATCTCACTTTGGCATAAATGCGGGATAGGGGTCTTCTTTGCACCCCTGTCACTCTCTCACATAGGCACCCTTCTATATGGCCAACCAGATGCAAAACGGGAATGGGTTGCTTGCTGTATCTCTGACTGTTGTGTGGAAGAGGAGATTCCCCCCATTTTTTCATTCAGGGTGGATTGAAAAAGCTGCACTCTCTGAAATTTCCTCTGCTGGAGAACCGTTTGCTTACTTCTCTGTTTATTTTAGCGGTTTGTCCCTATCTGGGCAGCTTACAGGAAGAAGAGGGAGAAGAAGATGAAGATGAAGATGAAGATGAAGAAGAAGAAGAAGAAGAAGAAGAAGAAGAAGAAGAGGCATCCCATATATACACACACACCAAACACACCAAACTTACAAAAATCAACATACAAGTGAGTTCTCTCTCTCTTATACTCTCACTACTCATCTCTCTCTCTCTCTCTCTCTCTCTCTCTCTCTCTCTCTCTCTCTCACACACACACACACACACACACACCCCTTAGCCATGCAGGTTGCTAACCTTTCTGAACAAACACACTCTCTCCTTTTCTTTCCAGACGCAATCAGCTGTTTGCACAAGAGGATAGAGTGTGCGGGTCACACGCAGCCAGATGGATTAGACGGTGACAGCAGAGCTTGTCTTCCTCTCTCTGTACATACCCCCTCCTTCCTCCCTGCACCCCAAATGCATCACACAGTGAAGCTGTCTGTCTCTCTGTCTCTCTCCACTTTGGTCCACGCTCCCCCCACCCCACCCCCAGCCTCCAGTGCCCGGGGATCACCTCCGCCACGCAGTCTGCCCAGGGGATGCCGAGCGGCGAGAAGCCTCCTCCTCCAAATGGGCATCCCTTGGGGGGCAGGCACCCCCCAAAAAAACCCCCTCCTGGCACAAACCCTCCTCAGAAGACCCTCTGCATCCCATCTCCTTCCGGATTCCCGCATCCCCTCACCTTACTCATGGCGCCGGGATGGTACCCTAAGGATGCTCCAAGAAAGATGCTCTGGTCCTCTCTCCTCTCTTGCGCGCGCTCTCTCTCACTCTCTCTCGCTCTCATTCACACACTGCCCCCCTCCGTCTCCGGCTCACTCGCATATATAGCATATTGCCGGACTCAAAGATGCCCGGCACTTTGAGTGGCAGGTGGAGGCAGCCAATGGGAGAGGCCCGTGGTTTCTGCTGCATTTGCAAACTGGGTTAATACAGCGGGATGGTGGTAGTAAACAGACGCTGAGGAGAGAATTGCCACCTTGTTGATTCTAAACTATCAACGTGGTTCTCTCTCTTCTCCCATGACGCCCCCCCCCAACTTCCACAACCTGACATTTATTTATTTCTTCTTTCTGAAATCTAGAGCTGAGTGCTGGGTAATTGCAAATCTTCAGACATGTTAAAAATGAATAAAGACAGTTAAAAAAAGGAAAAGCAATTCTTTATGCGATTTCCCCATAGGAGCTGATGATCACAGAGGCTGCAAGTTTGGGGATGGGGCCCCGGTTAATTGGGGAGGGGAGGTTTCTCCTACCCAAATCAAGTTGCATCCTTTCCAGATATCTTAAGGTAGGGGCAGCCGATGTTGTGCCCTCCAGCCATTTTCGGAAGGTAATTCCCATCGCCCCTCACCATGCTGGGGTGAAAGGAACTGGAGTCTATTAAATCTGCAGGTTACGGCATTGGCTACCCTTGTCTCAAAGGGACACATACAATAAATTCCACTTTTATGTCAGATCGCTCAGTTTAAAATAGTGACTACTCTCAGTGGCAGGACTTTGGGGAGACCCCAAATGCAGCAAGATGGGCTTAAAAGGTAAAGGTAAAGAGACCCCTGACCATTAGGTCCAGTCGTGGCTGACTCTGGGGTTGCGGAGCTCATCTCGCTTTATTGGCCGAGGAAGCCGGCGTACAGCTTCCGGGTCATGTGGCCAGCATGACTAAGCCGCTTCTGGCGAACCAGAGCAGCGCACGGAAACGCTGTTTACCTTCCTGCCGGAGCGGTACCTATTTATCTACTTGCACTTTGACGTGCTTTCGAACTGCTAGGTTGGCAGGAGCAGGAAGGGAGCAACGGGAGCTCACCCCGTCGCAGGGATTCGAACTGCCGACCTTCTGATTGGCAAGTCCTAGGCTCTGTGGTTTAACCCACAGCGCCACCCGTGTCCCATCTAAGGTGGGCTTACTCCAAAGCAAATACACGGAAGAGATAGCTCAATCAGTAGAGCCTGAGACTTTTAATCTCAGGGCCATCGGTTTGAGCCCCACGTTGGGCAAAAGGTTCCTGCATTGCAGTGGGTTGGACTAGATGACCCTCAGGGTCCCTTCCAAGTCTACGATTATGTCACTTATGACATTACAGGCTAAACAGCTCCCCTTCCTTCCAGGGTGACCCATTAGAACAAATACACACACCATTTGAATGGCAATGCCCATCAACTGGGGGGGGCAGCCCCTTCAAACATTTTATTGGAGGGGCTGAAAGGACCTTGGTGCCTAGGAGTGGGCTCCTATAGGGACAAAAGTCAAATGAGCTGGACCCGCCTGTCCTTGTCTCTGGCGCCATCTACTGTTGAGCTCCCTGCCTTCTCCCCTATCAGCCCCAATGGGCCCCAACCAGCCCTGGCAAGAACCCAGAGTCAGGATTACCCAACTGATGGCAAAACCCTGACCCTCTCTACTCAGATGTCCTTTTGAATTCGTTGGGGTTTACTCCCAGGTATGTGGGATTAGGCTTTTAGCCTGTGCCACCGGCTACACAATGATTTCAAGGGTTGACATTGCACCAATAAACATGCGCTGTTAAGTCCAGCCCTTTAATGACTACCATAGCTCTAGCCTGTGTTTTGAATATAACCCCTTTGTCGCTGAAGAATTTCCCCCAGGAAAAGCGAAAAAACCCTTGTTTTATTTACTTAACACGCACGCACGCACACGTATATATTGCTCCATTTTTCAAAGAAATCTCTGAGCTGCTTGCAATATCGTAAAAAAGCACAAACACAAACGTGGAATAAAAAGACCCCCATTGGAAAGAGGCACAAAACAATTAGATAAGATATCCTCTTAAGGAGAGGAAAAAAGTCAGTGCTGTATAAACCAATCCTTGGAATGCAACGAGACCATAGTAACTTCTAGCAGATCCAAAATACAGGAAGACAGCAGAGACAGGATGCCCTACCCACGATGTATACAAGCCTGTATTTATAGGGAGCAGCAAGATTCTCACTTCTGCGGCTGTCTCCTCAACCTGACATTAATCTGCCTCCTTCTGTCCTTCCTTCCTTTGCTGCCACAGGCAATCTTGAAACATACGCTGTAAACACTTGGGAAGAGGGACTTTTTATTTTATTTTATTATGTTTATCCCACTTGCCCCCCCCCCCAGTGCAGGACCCAAAGCAGCTTACAACACGAATTAAAAACAGATGCAATTTCAAAAAATGGACACCCCCTACCAATCAGTTTTAAATTAAAAATAAATAAAAATGGTTTCTATTTGAAAAAACAGCACTGAACCAAAGCAACTTAAAGCCATTTAAAACACAGCAGAAAGAGAAGAAAACGCACAGCAGCCCACCGTTGAAAAGACCCTGCCCCAACAGTCAAACAAAAAAGTGTTTGCCTGCTGGCGAAAGGAAGGCAGAGAGAGGACCAGCCTACACTTCCATGGAAGGGAGTCCCACAATCTGGGAGCAACCACCGAGAAGGCCCTGTCTTGTGCCCTCACCAAATGTTCCTGCGAGGTTGGTGGAGCCAAGAGAAAGTTGTCCCCTGAAGATCTCAAAGCCCGGGCAGGCTCCTACAGGGAAATACAGTGGTACCTCAGGTTACAGATACTTCAGGTTACAGACGCTTCAGGTTACAGACTCCGCTAACCCAGAAATAGTACCTCAGGTTAAGAACTTTGCTTCAGAATGAGAACAGAAATTGCGCTGCGGCAGCGGGAGCCCCTATTAGGTAAAGTGGTCTTCAGGTTAAGAACAATTTCAGGTTAAGAACGGACCTCCAGAACGAATTAAGTTCTTAACCCGAGGTACCACTATATGGTCCTTTTTCTCTTGCTTATCTTACTAAGGCAGTGTGGTGTAGAGGTTAGAACAGGCTCCCTCAACCTCGGCCCTCCAGATGTTTTTGGCCTACAACTCCCACGATCCCTAGCTAGCAGGACCAGTGGTCGGGGATGATGGGAATTGTAGTATCAAAACATCTGGAGGGCTGAGGTTGAGGAAGCCTGGGATAGAATGTCAAGTTAGGAGCAGGAAGACAAATCCTCCCCACTCAGCCCCTTCAGCCTGGTGTGCTGTTGTTTTGCTTGTGTATTCAGTGATGCATAGTGGTTAGAGCGCTGGACTAGGACCTGAGAGACCCAAGTTCTCATCCTGACTCAGCCCTGAAAGTCCCTGGCCCAGTCATTGTCTCCTAGGCTAAGATATCTCACAGGGTTGTTGTCTGGATATAATGGGGAGGACCAGGCGTGCTGCCTTGAACTCCTTGCAGAAAATGTGGGCTATAAATGGAATACTAGTAGAGGTGATAATAAAAATGTCATTGCTGTAATAATAGTTCATTAGCGATGGATTTATAATGGACCAGCCACACATCATCCTGCTTCCTTAGTTGTCCTGCTGTGCTTCCCCAGTGTTGCTGCGTTACTGCCATATGGAAAAGGGGCTTTTGTTTTACAGTGTATCAAAAGCGGGATTAAAAAGAAGAAAAGGCCCTGGAACTTTGTGGCGTGAAAAGCTACTGTATTTCAGCAGGAAGTTACAGGGCCCTACACGGGTTAGAAGCAAAGCATTCTGTCTGCCCTGAAACTTTTGCAGTTGCGAACAGTACTGAAAGCAGAACCACGTATCACTCTCCCGATAACATCAGGTGCACAATTCATCATGAACGCACAACAGAATAGACACACATACGCACTTTCCCCCCTCTAAACTAATATTGTATTGTCCAATCCTTTTTTAAAAAAACCCCACCCGATTTAATGGAGTAATATTAATCAGGTAGGTGACCCAAGGGCAAATGGCCTTCATGCAATAGGTAAAGGGACCCTTGACCATTAGGTACAACCGTGGCCGACTCTGGGGTTGTGGCGCTCATCTCGCCAGTGTGGTGTAGTGGTTAAGAGCGGTAGTCTCGTAATCTGGGGAACCGGGTTCGTGTCTCCGCTCCTCCACATGCAGCTGCTGGGTGACCTTGGGCCAGTCACACTTCTTTGAAGTCTCTCAGCCCCACTCACCTCACAGAGTGTTTGTTGTGGGGGAGGAAGGGAAAGGAGAATGTTAGCCGCTTTGAGACTCCTGAAGGGGAGTGAATTGGCCAAGGGAGCCGGCATACAGCTTCCGGGTCATGTGGCCAGCATGACTAAGCCGCTTCTGGCGAACCAGAGCAGTGCACGGAAACACCATTTACCTTCCCGCCAGAGTGGTACCTATTTATCTACTTGCACTTTGACGTGCTTTCGAACTGCTAGGTTGGCAGGAGCAGGGACCGAGCAACAGGAGCTCACCCCATCGCGGGGATTCGAACCGCCGACCTTCTGATCGGCAAGCCCTAGGCTCTGTGGTTTAACCCACGGCGCCACCCGCATTGCCAAAATTGTTATCCTCTCTTGACTCTGGTAATTGTACTATTAACGTCTTTGTTCATCTCCTGTGGAATTCAGTGAAATATTAACAAGCAGAAAGCACACCCATGTAGAATCAGAGAACTGTAGAGTTGGAAGGGACCATGAAGATCATCTAGTCCAACCCCCTTCAATGGAGGAATTTTTTGCCTACCGTAAAGCTTGAACCTACAACCCTGAGATTAAGAGACCTGTGCTCTAACAACTGAGCTATCCCAGCAGTAGTTGGTTTTTTTTAATAAACCACAGCAATTATTTATATAACAAAGGCTCACTGCATGGTGTTTACCAAGCCGCAGCTCTCTGGGCCTCCTGTCTGCAACTTGCTGTTGGTCCGCCTTAAAGGGTTGTTGCAAGGGTTCCAGAGATAACTTGCGTGAATTACTCTGAGCACGTGAAAAGCGGGCTTTTGTTGTTGTTATTGTTGTTGTTGTTTAGTCATTTAGTCATGTCCGACTCTTCGTGACCCCC